GAAATTCTTCACGCTCCAGTTATGAAAAAGGCTGATCATATTTGTCAGCCAGAATTTTCAGAGACCAAATTTAGAGTTTTCTATATTTCCTGTCAATCCTCCCAAGAAACACAGACCTGCTGAGGGGGAAACTGTACAGATTTCTTTATCCTGTCATCATTTTCAACTTCAGATGTAAGGGCGCAGAGAAAAGCAGTGCTGAACACATTTTCTTTTGTAACCACTCTATTAATAGGGGATCGACATGCACCGTAACATCTGTATAATACTAGAAGGGTTTGACAAGACAGTAAAAGATGTGTCTTAGTAGCCCTGGAGAGGAAAAAAAGCACAAGTGTTCAGAACAACGTTAAAGTTTCCAGAAAACAGAAAAACTAAGAGCAGGTATAAGCCACAAATACTGAAAACAAAACAAAACAAAAAAACCCAACAGAAAAATGAGTATAGAAAACAAAACCATTGGGAGGAAATAAAAATCATGGGCAAATACCAAACGTCTTAATAGCTCAGTACTGCTAAGCAGCAGGTCAAAGATTCTTCGCTGAGAAGCAACACATGAAATGCATATGCTGTATGCACACCATGATAGCTGAAAGGAGGAAGGTACTTTGCTCAAAGGATCTCTAATAATACACAACTAAGACCAGTTCCAGGGTACTGTTGCTGAACTTCAAGATCTTACACTGAGTGGTATGAACAGCCCTTTCTTGGTTCCTTTAAGTCAAGGCTGAATTTCTCATGTAGGGAAAAAAAAAACAAAAAAAAACCCACCAATCTCATTCTCTGCTAGCATCTGCTATTAGCAACATACATCTTGTTATCACTATAATCCCAGAGACCACAGCGCCAGATTATCCTCAACACTAACTTTGATTTATAAAGCATAATGCAGATTTAATTTGGAGATTAAACCTCTGACACATGGTTCCAGTGCACTGAATTTGAGATTGAAAGAATTGAAGATTGAAATTTCAAAGAAGCTCTGGATATCCCATCTACTGCAGGGGGTTGGAACTGGGTGGGCTTCAAGGTTCCCTCAAATTAAGCCATTCCACTATTCTCTAATTATTATTTTTTTAATTTATACCTTTCTTGTGGAAGTTTAATCCCCTTTGCTTAGTGAAGTACAGCGTGACACTTTCTAGGAGGACTTCTCTCCCAGAACTTGTCAGAAGGAGCAGAGATGAAGCAGCTGAGAGCAGCCTCTCAAGCAACATGACCATGCCTTCAGACCATGGGTTTCCTGTATTTATAAATGTTGGACTCATCCTTTCTTCCAATGTTGAGGTTAACATTAGAAATCTGCAGCCTATTCAAAGATTTTAATTCTTCCTTGTCGTCACTTCACTACTGATCACTGCACTGAAAAAAAGACTAGCAGTCCAATAGCCCTGGATCAATACAGGACATCTTCCCAGTCAAGCACTTTTTAAAATTTGTTTTCTTCTTGTGGCATTTTGGTTGATTTCACAGATACTGAAACTTACTCTTCAATTTACAGCACCAATTAAGAAATAATCTTGCTGTCTCCCTCCGACACCAAGTCCATACAAGATCTATCCTGACCTAGATCTCTAGAAGAAAAAAAAAGTTGTACTAAACATGCTCCTTGCTTTCTCAGCTCTAGAATTTCAGGTTGCCATTTTACCTCATACTGAATACTTCCATAAATATTGTTCAATCTCATGCCCACATAACTTGATTGCAACTTGAAGAACTGAGCCTGAGCTGCTACATTTTCTTTAAAATAACTAAACAGTAACAAAGACTGCAGGCATGTGAAGTTATAAGTGTAGTAGTGTAATATTGTATAGTGTAATAAAATAGTGTAAATACTCGTGGGGCTAATAAAAAGGGAATTAAGGCTTTTGAGAGCTATGCACCAATCTTCTAACTTAGAAGAAAAGTTTGGCCTAATAGATTTGCAAAGCAAATATTGCGCTCTATTACCTATCCCAAATCAGGATTCTGATCAAACTTTGTTTTTACTATTGACATAACAGCTTTGTTGTGCCCAAATTTTGTCCCTTCTGAAAGGGCAGCATCTTCATGTTAAGTTTTAAATGCATTAACGAAAGCTGAGAAAATAGAGAATGGAAAGAGTTATTGCTTCTTTCCTACACTGTAAGGCAAGCTGAGCAATGCAACAAATGCTAGAACCTCATTTGAACTATTGCAGCAACTATAGCTCCAGAGGAAGAAACTACATACTTTTAAGCTTAATACATCTTGTTCAGGGAGATCCAAGAAGATATTTAAGTGTAAGCCAGAAACTCTGCCCTGACACATTATTGAATGAGCCCATTTTTATGAAAGACAGTTAATGGAAAACTGTTTCAAAAGGCTAACATTTTTTCAAACAACTAAATAATAAAAATATTAATAGGGCAAAAATGAAGGAACAGTTAGACCTCTGATTCTCTGGAACAATTCTGGTACAATTTGAGGCCGTACCTCAAGTACTGTGCTCAGTTTTGGGCCCCTCATTACAAGTAACACATTGAGGCCCTGGAGTGTGTCCAGAAAAGGGCAATGAAGATGGTGAGCACAAGACTTCTTCTCCATTCTACATTAAAATACTAGTAAATGTAAGGCTAGTGAGTATTATTAATCTTAGCTGTGTACATTTTCAGTTTGCTCCTACTATATATAATCATACAAACTGAATTTTCCACAAAGTCCTATAATATTAAGGATGTTATGGAGCCAAATAAAATTACATGACAGTGAAGTGTAAACTTAAGATAGAAATAAGAATAAATGTTACTTCAAATCAAAGAAGAAAGAGCCTTTTAAAAAAAGAATATGCAGCGGTATTTCAAAACAGATAAGGAATCCAGACCCTTTGAGGGAACAATGGGTTCAGTCAGAATTATAATGTTATCTACAGACTATAGACCATAAGGCCAAAAGCAAACAAATAAGTGGAAATGAACTGAAATATTAATGCCAGGGAATATACACCATGTATTTTCCTTCCTAGACCACATAATGTATCTTGAAATATAACTAAAAATCAATAAATGAAGAAGCTAGATTAAAACTATTAACTAAGGTAACCTCTTAAATCACACAAGTCTGTCTGTGTGCAAGTTCAGTATTTCATAGGATGATATTCTACAGGAAAGGTAAATCACTAACTCAAGATCAATATGTTGATTATCCCAACACAAGAAACAAATTAAGGTATCAAACAATTAGCACACATTTTGAATAAGTATCAGTGGCAATAGCACATCAGTATCATCCCTATAAGGTTCCCAAGGGAATACAAGTGAAAGAGGCAATAAGGTAAGTGTTCATACCAATAGAAGACTTCTAAATGAAAAGGAGACTTTTAATTGTGAAAAGGTCTAATTCCTAAACATCTGTAGCTGAAGGTTCCATAAATTCAATCCTTGCAAAAATAAAATTTACTACTGTTTTTCACATTTGAAAGAATGAAGCGCATATACCTGTAAAGACAGCATAAAAAACAAGCTACACAAGTATATTATAGATATAAGCTGCTTATCATATGAAGTTTAACAGTTTATATTTTAAAGTAGAGTAATATCTTAATGAACGCATAAACAAATAACTTGGAAACTAGTTTTTTTTCTTTCTTTTCTTTGCTTAAAAGAGATGTGATGCCATACCCAGAGCATCTACGTATGAAATACTCCTGCTCTAACTATAATTATCATGTCCCACTTAGAGGTAGCTTCCTTATCTTTGAATGCATATTGACTACTTCCCCAGTAGCACGTAAATCAGTGTCATAGAAACTGATATACAGTATTGGGTGCTTAGGTTGCTGTGGCCATACTGGATGCTCTTTGAGGTATCTACCTCCGAATAAATTCACCTGAATGTCCTCCACTGAATTTCCCCCAATGAATATGTATTTGAGGAAGAAACATATTCTGTGAGGCCAAGAACCAGGGAGCACTGCGAGTCAAAAATCAATCTTGATCTTAAAATGGAATTAAGCATATAAAAACATGAGTAAATCTCTGTCTTTGGGGAAAATAGCTAAGAATTCTTACATGATATTATAAAATACTTTTTGGGCCAAGTACCATAACTTACTGCTTCCTGAACCTGACTGTATTTCACAAGAACAATCTGAGGCTTTTCACAGAACATTTCACTAGCTCCTTTGCCTATACAAGATAAATATTCTTAAACAATAAAATATTTTTAAGAAATAGATGTTTTTAGGATCTTCGTAACAGCTGTAAAACCTTAATATATTCCCATATCTTCACAAGAAATATCCTTAATAAGGCAGGGAATTTAAGAGCAAACTGAGCTTGATATGCAAAAGTACTCTTTTCTGCTAAAGTACACAGTATGACAGAATAAGTGTTGGGTTAATACAGGTTAAAACTTCTATAGGGCATACATCTATCATACAGTAATCTTAGCAAAAATCTTCAAAACCTCTATTACATTTTCTGTCCAAATCTTCACAGTTATAAAGTACTAACATTGTAATATAAAATTTGAGCTCCTTTTAAATATCTTTCATGGAATTTGCCCACAGCCAGGTTTGGACCAGGGAGTGGCACAGGAAGATAATAAGTTATTATTTACAAACAGAGAATTAACTACATATGATTACTTCAGGCAACTGTAATGACTAGTTTCTGTAAAAGTATATTCAAATTTCATTATATCATTCCCAGGTTTTCATTAAAAAAAGGTTAACAGTGTAAGTCTGCTGTTTTGTAATCACTTCTGCTTCACAACAAAAAACAGACACAAATCTTACTTCAAGGTCTATGAACCGATGGTCAAGTCCTGAGTACTCAAACTGTACTCAAGTTGAAACTAGATGATCATTGTGGTCCTTTTCAACCCAGGCCATTCTGATTCTATTATTCTATGAAATGCAGTCTCTAAACATTTCCTTCAGATTACATTCTCTCCGTTCAACAAACTAATTTCTTACAAATGCTAATAACTTTATAATGCAGTCCATACTCTCAAATACAATTGCTAATGCATTTTCCTACCTGCAAAGGGAACAGGTGCATCCTTATCCAAAGCAACAAGAGGAGGATCCAAAATTACAGTGTCATTATTTTCGGTTATGATTCCATGGTATGATGTCTCAATCCAGGGCTTATGCTTGTTCACTAAAGAAGAAAAAAAAGTCTGATCAATTAATTTATAGTTCATATACCACTAGTTTATCTTATCTTCTTTGAAGAGAAAACATTTGACACATATCCAATATTACTACTCAAAAGTCACTTATAAAGCCCCAAGTTTCTGGCATTTGAATGTTTATAAAGTATAGGCCTCCCTCCAATAAAGACACCAAAATAAAAAGCCAATTTTCGAAATGTTTTTAATGTGTTCCCAACTGTCCAACACAATTATGGCCAGATACTTTTAAAGGAATTGCTTTTGGTTGCAAAACTCTGATCCAATTAAAAAAATGTCCAAAGAAATACGGCTTTTGTCAAGATTCAGAGGCAAGTAGAAAGGCAGGCAAGAATACTGTACTCCAGGCAACTACTCATTTTACATTTTTTTAGAAAAATACCTAAAAGTACTCTTGTATTCTCTACCTTGTAGAGAAAAAACCATGCATCATCAGATTGTCTTACTCCTGAATGTTTTGAATGTGACCCTCTCTTAACAACCATCCCCTATTTATTGACATGGCAACATGACTTGGTCTTCCTTTCTGTTTTGTAAGCAGCATAGCTTTGCTACGCTTAAAAACAGCACTTAGATCACACAGTCATCATCTGACTTCTACATTTTTGTAACTCCTATAGAAGTAATACAAATTCCAATTTGAAGCGTGTTCTACCACAGGCATCAGTAAATACTATGCTAAGGATGTCTACCATATTACCACCAAGTCCATACACAACATAATTTTCATACATATTATTTAGCTGTGTGTATCAAACGCTGAGAAAAACACCTGGTGAAGTAACAGGAATCACCCATCTCAAGACAAGACAGAAGGCTGACACTTAAACAAAAGTCAAATTTAACTAGATGGGATTATTTTGAACAATCACAGAATTGCAGGGGTTGGAATGGACCTCAAGAGATCACTAAAACGAATCCTCCTGCTAAAGCAGATTCTGTACAATGGGTCGCACAGGTCAGTGACCAAACAGCTCTTGAACATCTTCATAGGAGACTCCATAACTTCTTCGAGCCACCTGTTCCAGCATTCCATCACCCTCATCGTAAAGGAGTTCTGCATGTTTGTAGGGAACTTTCTATGTTTAAGTTTTAGACCATTGCTCCTTGTCCTATCGCTGCACACCGCCAAGAATAGCCTGGCTTCTGCCTTCCATCTTCCTTTAGATATTTATTAACATTAGTCAAACTGCCCTTCAGTCTTCTTTTCCCCACTCTAAACAGACCTAAGTTACTCAGCCTGTCCTCATATAGGAGATGCTCCAGGCCCCTAATCATCTTTGTGGCCCTCCTCTGGACTCCTTTTAGGAGAATCACAGTATCACAGAATGGTTTGGGCTGGAAGGGACCTTTAAGATCACCTCGTTCTCCCCAGTTCTCACCTAGTAGATCTCCCTACCGTAAGCAGCAACACCTCCCCCCAGACCAGGTTGCTCACAGCCCCACAACAAACCTGGCTTTGAATGCCTCCAGGGAGGGGGGATTCACAACCTCACTGGGCAACCTGTTCCAGTGTTTCACTGCCCTCACAGTAAAGAATTTCTTCCTAATATCTAGTCTAAATCTTCTCTCTTTCAGTTTAAAACCATTTCCCCTCTTGCCTTGTCACTATGTGCCCTTATAAAAAAAAAAAAAAAAAAATCCCTGCCTTTTTTGAACTGGGGGGCTGAGAATAAGACACAGTAGTGATATTAAAAAAAACACAACCAACAGCTCTTCACACATACACACCAACATCAGCTCTTTGTTGCCTTGTCTTCAAAAACCCTCACACAAGAACAGGTTTGATATTTCACTCACGGAGCTTCTTTAAAGTGGAAAAAGTAGTTCTAGACATCAAAGACAACTGAGAAAGTTTGTTCACAGTTGAGAAGCTCAACAATTAAGAATTCTTTTGTTCCCTAGTCATTTGGAAAAAATAAATACATTTATGGCTAACTGAAGTTACATCTTTTTCCTTCTTGCTCCTTTGTTTAATCATTAGGAAATTGTGGTCTCAGGAAGAATGATCTGAGGCTCTTTTAAAGCTGAATTATTCAATACTACAATTAGTAAAAGGACTTTGAGTTAACGTATATGTTAGAGTATATCTTGTTTCAGAGGAAGTTATACTAGTTTTCCACAGTTCTTTGCCCATTTGCCAATAACTAAGAAATGGAAAGATTAAACTGGGGATATATCAAGGAAAGGTGAAAGGAAAGTAGGAAATTCAAATCTCTTTATTATGTAATGATCGAACACCCAGAAGGAGAAACTGGTGAGTTTTATATAATGAGATCCTAGTTTGCAGGGCAGATGAAGTCTTTTATATGTATTATTTGAATAGATGAATTGCCTCAGCAGAAATAGTTGTGCACATAAATATGCTCTACTTATAGTCCGATACCACTCCAAGAGTTTGATTGACAGAATAACAATCCATCTCCTGATTAAATGCAGATACAATTCAACAAAAACTGAATCAGTTTGAATGAAAAAGAAAGCCCTTAAGCAACTAAAAATACCAAAGGCAGATTTTCCTCCTTCCTGGTTCTGTTAATTGCCTGAGCTCTTACAAACAAAACAAACCAATAAAACAAACAAAAAAAAATAACAAAAAACATACTAAAATAATCAAAATAAATCTTAAAAAACACCAAATAAATTGCTTTTATTCCTACAACAGATTCTGCATAATCATTTTGATGATGCTGTTGCTTAAGAAATCGTCTCAGCATTCAGTGATTGCAACTCTACAAGCACTGTCTTTTTTCCATTAGCGTCCCATGAGCTACAACAACAGACAAGTCAATGACAGCAACATAATTCCTTATATTACATTAGAGCAGGAAGAGAAGAAAGTAGATTAAGAACAATTGCTACACTTTAGTCCTAGACCTTGGAGACTGTCATAGCAGGAAGAAAGGAACAATAAAATAAAAGCAAAACACAATGGAAGTTCTAATTATTTACAAGTTCTAACGATGTACTTCTCCAAAAGAACAATTATGACTATATGAGATTAATGTAACCTGTGGTAACTGGTTTTTAAAAAAGATGTCAAAAGCGTTTTGTTCTTTCCTCCTTTCCTCCTCTAGCTGAGTCACATTTGAAGATATTTGAGAATTAAATTCATTAGAATACAAATCAGATATTTTTCTAGTGATGCCCGCTTTAAAAACATGTCATTTCTCCTCCCTTATCTACTTTATTTTTTTTATTAGTGTACCGAAATAAAACAGCACATGCAATGCCTCCACTTATCAACTCTCCTTCCTTAGAGCAGGATATGTTCAAAACAAGATTTCCAGTAACTTGAGCAGTATCTCCTTTGACCCTCTTGTTTTCTAGCTCTGACATTCAAATACAAGGGCTGCTGGGAAAGTAATGTAGAAAACTACAGAAATCCTGTGAGACTAATTTTGATATTTTTTTACCCTTCTGACAGATTCCCAAAACTGCATTTGAATAGTATATTGTTATTTTATTAAGGTGCATGTGTATATAGATACATAATTATGCATACATAATTATCATTTTGATCCTCATTTGGCTTTAAATGGCTCTAGTCAGTGTTGAAGTAAGTTTCTTTTACCAGTTACATCAGTAAATGAAACCTTAAGTTTCCAAAGTTAGAGCAATGTCACTCTGCATTTATTAAAAAAGAAAAAGGAAGCAAAAATTGTTTATTCTGTTGTCTTCTTTACACTATCTGAAAGAAAACATTTAAACAGAAAAATAAATTGAAAATTGAAATTCACACTGTGTAAGAAACAACAGTCCTAAGCAGTCCTATTATACAAAGTGTTTATACTGGACAAAGACTAACATCATCATTTCTGAAATTGTTATAAACTTAAAGATAAAGAAGTAATGCAGTATTTATCATAAAAATGTAAGAAGTAGAAATTGCTACCAAAAAAAAACCCCAAAACATTTCAATGTTTTAATGCTAATTTAACAGTTCTTGCAGTTAATAACTGTCTATAAGAAAGCAATAGTAAAAGTGCACTTTGCATTTGTTAAAGGTGATGGAATAAATTTTTATAGAGGCGTGTACATGAAAGTTTCAGGAACTAAAAGAGTAGGGTACGATACAGAAAGAGAAACTCAGTAGAGCAAAAAGGCATGAAATTCAGCTGATAAGAAGTAAACAGTAAATTACTTTTCCTGTTGGGCTATGTTATGTTGCAGTATACTGCTATGGTCTAACCTGACAGGTGGCAAAGCCCTGCAGTCATTCATTACCTCCCTGGCAGAATGGGGGAGGAAGCCAGGGAAAAAGAAAGTAAAATTTGTGGGTCGAGATAAAACTATTTACTAAAACAGAGAAAAGGAAAATAATGATATTACTATTTAAATATATAGATATGAATGTATATAACAAGCAATGCACAAACAATTGCTCACCGTTCCCCCAACCCACGCCCAGCTGTTTCCTCAGGCATGGAAGAGAGCAAGTTGAACTTGCACTCCCTTCAGAACTCCTTCTACATGATAATGGTATGAACACCCTTGTGGCAGTTTAAGTCAGCTGTGCTAATTCTGTTCCTTCCCAGCTCCTGTGGCCCTTTGCTGAGAACGGCCTTAACTCTGTAAAACACTGCTTAGCAGCAACATCAGTGTATTATCAACACTGGTTTTCGCCAAGGACTGAAAACACAGCATCACAGCAGACACTGAAAACAACAATTCCATCCCAGCTGAAACTAAGACACACTCCTAGAGTAACTCCAAAAATAAAAAATATACTTTTTTATTTTTATAAAAGATCTGCCTCCAAGGAATGAAAGCATTTGATTGATACATGCAGTACAGAATAAGAGTTGCTCTTAATTCGCCAGATGCCTTTTACTTGAACCTTTCTGTCGAGGTAAAAGTCGAAATCGGTACCATGGGTTCAAAAGTTCAAACATATTTAAGACATAGAGTTGACTTATACCAGGACTAAAACTGGGTTTTTTGTTTTCTAAACTTCTTCTAACTAACCTACTTTGTTAGTCATTCATACAAAATGTTAATGTAAATAATTT